TAAAAGTAAAGTGAATTAAAAGTAAAAAGTGAAGAAAAAGTAAAGTAACAGAAAAGTGAGCGAGATGCGCCGAGCTCAATAGTTTTATCTGACCAGATTGAGTGGGCGTGTTTGAGGCAAGGTGGGTCTCTTAGTTAGTTTCGGAGGAAACTTAATGAACTTTATTTTGTGAATTATATACTTTAACATGTTAGGCACAATAGACACATACTCTTCCCATTATGGTCAAAATCGGCTCTTAACATCAAATTACATTTAATACGATTATTGTACTTCATATATCAGTGGAACACAAGTATAAAGTGTTTCGTGCACAAACACTACAAACTAGTCTGCAGTTACATCAACATACTAAATGAGAAAGCCTATACTGATAGAGACAAGTTGATTGATCAATCTAACTATCTCTTAACTTGAACTATAATATGGGATTCCTACGGAATCTTTCTTAACTATCGCCACAGGATGGCAGTATGACTCTATGTTAAATGAGGAATTAAACACATGAAATTATATCTAACTCATATTATGACCTACAGAAGTGGAAATAATATTAATCAACTAAGAAACAAGGATTATGCAAAGTTAAAATGTTAGAACATGGATAAAATGTATAGTTTACTTTCAAGAGACATTTAAAGTTGGTTAACAAGAGAAACTTAGTTTTTACTCAGGAAGAAGACCACATCTGGTCTTCTTATCTTATTTCCACCAGGGTGAGAGTAAGATAGAGCTGGGGTGACTCCTATAGATGTGTTGTATAACAGATAGAGGGACAGAAGTGTGGAGAGACAAAAAAGGAAGAGGATGTGGTTTTATTGGAGGTAGAGTATTAAGTCCTTAAGAAAACAGTCTGTTTTATGAAAGACATGATTCTTTGGTGGTGGGCAAGTTGGAGTCTCTCCCTGCTGCTTGGATTTCAGCAGATCAGTGAACTTAAAAGCATAGTTAATGACCCTGGTCTGGCAGTTAATCTGGCTGAGTTGTCAAAACACTGAATTTCCCAGGATGGTATTCAGCAAACTGAAATCTGGATGGTTTCCAATTGACACCTTTACCACTCTTGATGCCAGGATGACAGTGAAAGAGTACATCAACTTTGAGGTGAGACCGGGGGCAAAGCCATAAAAATTTGACCCTCAGAGTTGAAGAAATTCAGCTGTTCTGAAACTGAATCCCATCTCAGGGTTCATCAACTCAGTTCAGGTTAAGACTCATAGTAGCTGCTGTCTGGAATGGACCTCCACTCCCTACGTAGATATGTACAACGCATTCTAAGATAACAAAAACACGATTCTTCTTTCACGTAATTATACACTAAATACTTATATATA